GGAAATAACTGGATATAACTAGCAATTTTATTGTATTTACTGGCTTGTATGATGGGTGGAACTTTTCGAGGAGTAATTTTACCGTATTTCCATCGTCTACCTTAACACCTGAACCCACCTGGAACTTTGACGTCACTGATCTGTTTTAATAAATCTGACAGTACACCTAACCGCCTCCAAATCTGATAATAGTTTGCGTTGTTGAAGCGAACAAGGGTGCCTACAGTGGGCAACCCTATTGCATTGTTGGCCAAAAGCGATATCGGCTTGTCTCTTGTAGGTTACACCACTTTTCTCTACACTATATGATACACCGGAAGTGCCGCTTCATGCCGACGGTTGTCCATCGTCAACCCTGTATTTGGTAATTGCCAACGACCTAGCCTGATGAAGCTTTTGTATCAAGGGCGAAATGTTGCCTCAATACAAGCCTTAAAATAAGCGATTTGGGCTTCAAAACATTTCGGGATTACGAATTCCCTGTTTATTCTGTGTTTATTCAAGGATATTAAGTTGCCAACAACCCGTTCGCGAAAACCATTGGTGTCGACCTTATGGGCACTATCTGCAGCCTTTCCATTGGTATCCCAGTGTGGTGACTCTCTCTTTTGAGACAGACGAATCAGTGTCTTTTGGGGACGTTTCTATCTCTGTAGAAAACATTGGTCATTCGTTCTCACGCCATGTGCTGGAATAGCTTCATACATAAAGCCAAACTGTTATGGACGTCTTACTTAACCCGAATACTGCCTTTGGTTCTTTTAATCGTGACTGTTTTTGTTGACACCTATGCTTAAATGTCTCACCCGAAAATTTTTCATCCAGGGCCTTTCGATGAGCTTGCATCTGTATTCCTCACCACTAGGGAAGTGCGACTGAGCTGCCTCTTTCCCATTTGCCTTATGATCCAACCAATTCTGAGTAGTTTTTTTGCTGTTCAATCCATCTGGATTTGACGTTTCGGCAGGTTACCGATTTACGTAATCATTTAGTACGCGTGACCTCTCCATCGGGATCATGTGCGACCTATTTGCAATATACGCTGTTTCAGTTTGCACGGAGTACCGCGCGCGCCTCTGCATGTACTTCACAGTTCTAGAGTGCCACGTACCCGCTTATCTCTACTGGACTTGGGCACAGCGGTGATTTTGCTCTGCCATCGAATCTGGACTCTTCTGCTGTTATCTGGTGCATTTTGCGAGCGACACCTCGCAGTCTCCACTAGCAAGCCGTGCTCTTCACTCTTTTTGATTAGCCCGATGATCATATATATATATATATATATATATATATATATATATATATGTCTTACTCTTTAGGTATGATTAATAGGGTAATTCAAAAGCGTTAGGGTATTTACTTCAACTGGCCATCCTTTTGTAAAAATAAGGCCACAATAAACTATTATTGCTATGTTACTTCTTGGGCGAATGATGCACATATTCAATCGGTTTCGACTAAATTTCTCATACGTGGACTCGAGTGTACTGCCACCAAGCACCTGGATAAACAGACAGGTACATTCTGCCTTCTACTCTTCATCATGCCCGTTGCATAATCCTCCGTAGCCCAGAGTTTGCAAAGTTCTCTAAAGCCTTGCGATGGAGCGGAGCGGTTCTAGTTAGAACGACCAGCACTGTTTTAACTTATGCGAAGGGCGCGATCTGGGAAAGCTTCATTTTTGGAAATAACTGGATATAACTAGCAATTTTATTGTATTTACTGGCTTGTATGATGGGTGGAACTTTTTGAGGAGTAATTTTACCGTATTTCCATCGTCTACCGTAACACCTGAACCCACCTGGAACTTTGACGTCACTGGTCTGTTTTAATAAATCTGACAATACACCTAACCACCTCCAAATCTGATAATAGTTTGCGTTGTTGAAGCGAACAAGGGTGCCTACAGTGGGCAACCCTATTGCATTGTTGGCCAAAAGCGATATCGGCTTGTCTCTTGTAGGTTACACCACTTTTCTCTACACTATATGATACACCGGAAGTGTCGCTTCATGCCGACGGTTGTCCATCGTCAACCCTGTATTTGGTAATTGCCAACGACCTAGCCTGATGAAGCTTTTGTATCAAGGGCGAAATGTTGCCTCAATACAAGCCTTAAAATAAGCGATTTGGGCTTCAAAACATTTCGGGATTACGAATTCCCTGTTTATTCTGTGTTTATTCAAGGATATTAAGTTGCCAACAACCCGTTCGCGAAAACCATCGGTGTCGACCTTATGGGCACTATCTGCAGCCTTTCCATTGGTATCCCAGTGTGGTGACTCTCTCTTTTGAGACAGACGAATCAGTGTTTTTTGGGGACGTTTCTATCTCTGTAGAAAACATTGGTCATTCGTTCTCACGCCATGTGCTGGAATAGCTTCATACATAAAGCCAAACTGTTATGGACGTCTTACTTAACCCGAATACTGCCTTTGGTTCTTTTAATCGTGACTGCTTTTGTTGACACCTATGCTTAAATGTCTCACCCGAAAATTTTTCATCCGGGGCCTTCCGATGAGCTTGCATCTGTATTCCTCACCACTAGGGAAGTGCGACTGAGGGGCCTCTTTCCCATTTGCCTTATGATCCAACCAATTCTGAGTAGTTTTTTGCTGTCCATTCCATCTGGATTTGACGTTTCGGCAGGTTACCGATTTACGTAATCATTTAGTACGCGTGACCTCTCCATCGGGATCATGTGCGACCTATTTGCAATATACGCTGTTTCAGTTTGCACGGAGTACCGCGCGCGCCTCTGCATGTACTTCACAGTTCTAGAGTGCCACGTACCCGCTTATCTCTACTGGACTTGGGCACAGCGGTGATTTTGCTCCGCCATCGAATCTGGACTCTTCTGCTGTTATCTGGTGCATTTTGCGAGCGACACCTCGCAGTCTCCACCAGCAAGCCGTGCTCTTCACTCTTTTTGATTAGCCCGATGATCATATATATATATATATATATATATATATATATATATATATGTCTTACTCTTTAGGTATGATTAATAGGGTAATTCAAAAGCGTTAGGGTATTTACTTCAACTGGCCATCCTTTTGTAAAAATAAGGCCACAATAAACTATTATTGCTATGTTACTTCTTGGGCGAATGATGCACATATTCAATCGGTTTCGACTAAATTTCTCATACGTGGACTCGAGTGTACTGTCACCAAGCACCTGGATAAACAGACAGGTACATTCTGTCTTCTACTCTTCATCATGCCCGTTGCATAATCCTCCGTAGCCTAGAGTTTGCAAAGTTCTCTAAAGGCTTGCGATAGAGCGGAGCGGTTCTAGTTGGAACGACCAGCACTGTTTCAACTTATGCGAAGGGCGCGATCTGGGAAAGCTTCATTTTTGGAAAGAACTGGATATAACCAGCAATTTTATTGTATTTACTGGCTTGTATGATGGGTGGAACTTTTCGAGGAGTAATTTTACCGTATTTCCATCGTCTACCTTAACACCTGAACCCACCTGGAACTTTGACGTCACTGATCTGTTTTAATAAATCTGACAGTACACCTAACCGCCTCCAAATCTGATAATAGTTTGCGTTGTTGAAGCGAACAAGGGTGCCTACAGTGGGCAACCCTATTGCATTGTTGGCCAAAAGCGATATCGGCTTGTCTCTTGTAGGTTACACCACTTTTCTCTACACTATATGATACACCGGAAGTGCCGCTTCATGCCGACGGTTGTCCATCGTCAACCCTGTATTTGGTAATTGCCAACGACCTAGCCTGATGAAGCTTTTGTATCAAGGGCGAAATGTTGCCTCAATACAAGCCTTAAAATAAGCGATTTGGGCTTCAAAACATTTCGAGATTACGAATTCCCTGTTGATTCTGTGTTTATTCAAGGATATTAAATTGCCAACAACCCGTTCGCGAAAACCATCGGTGTCGACCTTATGGGCACTATCTGCAGCCTTTCCATTGGTATCCCAGTGTGGTGACTCTCTCTTTGAGACAGACGAATCAGTGTTTTTGGGGACGTTTCTATCTCTGTAGAAAACATTGGTCATTCGTTCTCACGCCATGTGCTGGAATAGCTTCATACATAAAGCCAAACTGTTATGGACGTCTTACTTAACCCGAATACTGCCTTTGGTTCTTTTAATCGTGACTGTTTTTGTTGACACCTATGCTTAAATGTCTCACCCGAAAATTTTTCATCCAGGGCCTTTCGATGAGCTTGCATCTGTATTCCTCACCACTAGGGAAGTGCGACTGAGCTGCCTCTTTCCCATTTGCCTTATGATCCAACCAATTCTGAGTAGTTTTTTGCTGTTCAATCCATCTGGATTTGACGTTTCGGCAGGTTACCGATTTACGTAATCATTTAGTACGCGTGACCTCTCCATCGGGATCATGTGCGACCTATTTGCAATATACGCTGTTTCAGTTTGCACGGAGTACCGCGCGCGCCTCTGCATGTACTTCACAGTTCTAGAGTGCCACGTACCCGCTTATCTCTACTGGACTTGGGCACAGCGGTGATTTTGCTCTGCCATCGAATCTGGACTCTTCTGCTGTTATCTGGTGCATTTTGCGAGCGACACCTCGCAGTCTCCACTAGCAAGCCGTGCTCTTCACTCTTTTTGATTAGCCCGATGATCATATATATATATATATATATATATATATATATATATATATATATATATATATATATATATATATATATATGTCTTACTCTTTAGGTATGATTAATAGGGTAATTCAAAAGCGCTCTCCGTAACCTTCCGTTTTTCGCTTGTTCACCCGGATCCTGGGAAAACCGGGGCATTATTCATCAAACTTTATTTCCCATCTACTAATGGCAGGCTTTTTCTGTTGGCCTCTGAGTTGCTCAGCGAACGTTGCCGCAGTTGACCCTTTGGTTACCTTTTGCGATCTTTTGGTACCCTTCCCTCTCAACCATGTTCGTCACTTTTCGCTTTTTCTATTTTATTTTCAGGCTTATCCATAATTAATGCCTTTGTATTCCAGGTTTTCGTCGGAGATGCGCGAAAACCAGCCTTTTTTGTTGCAAATCGCGGACACCATGCAGATATCGGTATGTTTTAAAGCAGTCTTACAGTGCTCCCTTTTTGAAATGGATTCATATCGATAATTCTACTTATCTGTTTCTTATTCAGGTGGTTCCACTCCTGGATCTATGCCACCTCATTCGAAGTGCATATTCGAAGAAGGGGCGGTATTTAAGAGCTTTTACCTTGTCAAAGATGGACGTTTTCAGGAGGAAGGTACTCATATGCTTTCATTTATACCAAAGCCAAACTTGTCACAACCATACTATGGTGGCATGTTGTCACCTTTTAATCTCTATCAGCGATGCTTTGCCTATCGTTTGACTTTTAACGCCGCTGCTATTTCTTTAGAATTCGGTTTGCTCAAACCGTCAGTCAGGGAAACACTGCTGGCTCTTATTTGATGTGTTCCCTGTGCTTATTCACATCTGTCATTCATGCTGTTTTTGTGTGTGTTAGAGCACCTAGCAACATTTGGTCAGCCGTGACCAGCGTTTGCTCGCGATTCATTTCTTTATCCTCTGACTTAATTGATTTTCATCGGCTATGAGCGAGCGATTCCCTTTCGCTACTATCGTGTGCTATGCGCACCACAATCATCACCATCGTCCTCACCGTCCATCTCCGCTGATCGCTTCTGTGCGGTCGCCTTTTAGTAAAGCTCTCAATTCGGAGTTACCATCTCAATTCTCGTCACACATTCTTATGCTTACTCCTGTTTTTTATTAGTTCGACGAGCGCTACACAGTGTTCTCCACCTTCTGTATCCAACTTGCGAACCATATTGTTCCTCCAATTCGCACCTTCTTTGCCGACACTTCCGCATGCAACCACCTTACTTACCGGGTACATAGTTAAACTTTTTCACTCATTCGTACAGACTGTGTCATGGCTCTCCATCAAGACCTTACCCCCGTCCGACATACTGTGGCGCAGTTGCAGCTACTCTTGCAGTCGATAGCTGTGCGTGTGTTCCGCAACTCGAAGCCAAACACTAACACTCATCTACTTGCTGACCAATTTCGATGCTGCCGCGAGGATCGATAAACCCTTGTGTAGAGTGGCTTTATATTGATTTGCAAATTCTTTTGAAACGTGCCCTCGGTAGTCTCGTGGACTATATCTTTCGTTCCATACAAATGTCCTTTCGTCGTGGTTGCGAGGGCCGCTCGTGCACCAATCCATGTCCTCGAAAAACCCGGGTAGTTTAATCTATCTATTTTATCCCCCTTCCATGTGTTGGCCTTAGTAACTGTTTAATCCTCCATGCGCCCAAGCCGTTGTCCAGTGGTACACACCTGCTTTACACCCTCATTCCTTCACTAGCGATATTTGGGCACATTTTAATTTTTCCCTGACGAATGCCCCATGCACCTGGTCTGATGTCGCTATCTCTATGGCGTTGTAATCTTGTGTCCACATATTCTGTGCGATTTGCAGGTCATCCACTTTACCATTGACAAAGTCTTAGATCAGTCTGCCTTACTTTCGCTCCTAACCCTTTCCTCATTTTATGCTTGGTCCGACGATGTCTTGCTATTGAATTTGTCAATAGTTTCTCACGTCTATCGTGTGTTCACTCGTCCTCTGGCTATCTGCGTTGAACGGTGGTTTGGACGGCACCTTTCCTCTCCACTCGTTTAATTGCCATTCCTTATTGACGATGATACACCGGGAACCTGAACAATTGAGGTCTGCCCAGTTTACTTGACTGTAACTATTTTAATAGTACCGTAGGTATTGTGGTCCAAACTCGTTCTGATTTCGGGATAATTGGCTACGCGTCATTCAGTGTTCGACCGGTGAACATTACCCCTTGTGCTGTCACGACAAGCGACACATTCAAGCATCTGGCCGTCAGTTACTGCATCTCATGTACGTGTTCCGGCATGTTTGAGTTCAACGGTGTCAGTCGCGTCCCCGCTTGGCCCACAGAACATTCACCAAACGTGCATGAGCTTCATTACCACAGTGACGGAGAACATTTGGGATTAGCCTGCTTGGTTAGACTCCGTGACAAGCGACCCTCTCAGTACCGCAACCGATTTGGCTATCACAATGGTACGCACAGCCTATCCCGGGGAAACCTAAGCCGAAAGCATTACAACTAAACGGTAATTGTGGAAACTGTGTTAAGAATGTACCAATTGGAATAGCATGCTCTAACTCTTGTAAAAAGATAATCTTAAATGCACTATCCTTAGTATAGGTGAGCTAAAAAACAAAACAATATGGCCGATTTCCTTTGCTTTTACCCAGAGTGTGTGCGGCTGTTCTACTCGTCAGACGCATAGTTATGCTGGTGTGAAAGGGCGACAGACATATAGAGATCGTAGAGCGAGCAACTATCCCGCTGGGGCCAGAAAATCGGAGCTTCGAACTGGATGCACAACATCAATCTCCACTTCGGAACAAAGCAGCCAATCCGGGCGTAAGAGCGATGATCGAGAGTTAGGCACTCCGACCACACTAGCTCCTGCTCCGAGACGAGTAGCCGCTTTTAGTGATCCACTCAGACTGAATACTTCATCAAAGTATTGCCGTACTTTTAGCACTGCTGAGAGACCAACAGCATATGCGTTTATTGGTTCCACCTGCATGACTGGCACCGTACATGATAGCTTCGATTGCTGCCAAACAGGAACACTTAGGGCCACCACTACTAACACGGGGCCTAGTATACCATCTGTTGTCCAATCAATAAAAACAGCCTCACACCCCTTTAAAAAGGCGAACGCCAGACAGCATCGTAATTCTCTTGCTGTTATATGCTCCCATATGTCTGAATCTGAGGCCAAATCCATTAAAGACAAACTTCTAGACGACCAGAAACCATGAGCTGCCATGTACCAATTACTTGGAATCCAAACGAGGCCGGTCAGTATAATGCGTCTCGTCCGTCCTCCAAGTTCGGTACACTACGGTGAACCACGGTTACACCAAGTGACGCTTCAGTCAGAAGATGATGCAGCAGCCGTTCTCTTGTCAGCCACTCGCCTCTGAATTACCCCACCCATCTGCTCGCATTTCTCCAGATATTCCTTGAAGCAGATGCCAACAACGCAAACCAGAGTCAGACGACTACCGCAAACAATAGGACGTAATATAACTCCTTGTTCAGTTTGTCCCGGAGCTTCAGGCTCCAAGCGAGCTAGAGGCTCAAGTACATGACTGGAATGAATGGCGCCTCATGCGTGGAGTGTTCTTACTCGAAAATGTGATCGTCAATTCGACATATAAGTTAGCCTTTTTACCCAACTACAAAGGGAGGGGTCGCCGATTGATGAAAGCAACGTTGCAATCCAAACCGATAGTAGAAAAGGCGGTCGAAATGTAACGTAAAATGCGCAATATGCTGCCATTCTAAATACATATATAGGTGATGGACACCCGGGCACAAATAGACAAGGCGTCACTGAACAAGCAGGTCACACGTGCAACCACGTCAACAGGCAGCTCAGAACCGAGATATTGCCAAAACTCCCGGACAACTGAAAGAGGTTTAGGTTATCAGCCACTTGCTGACACTGAGCACTCTACACACCAAACCAGAATGACCCTAGGGCTTGCGTCCGCAGTTCAGCAAAAAAAAGCCAAACACGACCTCACAATAGTCGGCATAAACCCTGATCCGAAAGCCACATTCGCAAATACACTGCTAACCTCTGAGGCCATCATCTGCTTGTATGCCAACACAGCGTCTTCTCCGTAAGATGACCGAGCATCATCAGGTTTCCACTCTTTGGAACATAATCATGATAACTACAACGCGGCTGAATACTGTGATCAATGATACTGAGATTGTTCTGTTAGGCATGATTCTCCTACGAAACGATCAAACTATCAGAGGAGGTGGAGTGCTCTTGTCTTACCGATCGATATCACTGACCATCCACCTACACAATTTGTCGATCTTCTGTGGTGCCGTTCTGCACCTGAAACGTCGCGATATGGGCTTACTAGCAATAGTTTGCCGCCCTCCAATGTCCACCCTGGAAATGGATTACCGCCTGGCTTCTGCTATGAGGCGAATCCTTGCGCCACCATACAGTCACGTCATTCTGTTGGGGGACTTCAATCTGCACTCAATCGAAGCCCCTGCTTCGCTCAGCGAACGACTGAAAGCGGTCTTGCAAAGAAGTAATCACCACTATATCACTATACAACCATGTTTTCGCTCCCACGAGGTTCAAAACTGACGACGAACCATCTGTATTAGACCTTGTATTCACCAATAAAGAGCTAATGCTCCATACTGTAACCATAGGCGTCTCGCTTGGCCATAGCAATCATGCAACACTGCTCTTCCCCTACATCTGCTACGCAGAATACATCAGCAGAAATTAAGAGGAACCTCACGTCGTCACCCAGTGCAGGACGCTGTCTGATCTCGTTCAAAAAACCACCTGTTTCTTCCTAACTGAACATCCTCGCAATGTCACCTGGAAGGAATTTGTCACCCAGTTCACTGAATTAGTGGCAAGTGCTTCAGAAACTAAAGTTTTTCGCCCGAAGCAAACGCTGTCTTTCCTTAGGAGCCTGACTCGAAAATACATAGTTTAATGGACTACGCTTGACACGTTTATAATGCCTACCCAAGTGTGTACTTCTGGGTTGCCTAGATAACAGCGAAATCATTGTACCAGGCGGGTCCGCAACGACAAACGAACTCCAACAGGACTTAGCCACCATCTTCAGTACTACTCCTATGATGCTCTAAAGACACGTTGACCAGCTCCGCTGAGTGCAGCGCGCAATTCACATTCTACTTGCAGTAGTAGTAGTAGTAGTAGTAGTGGTGGTTTGACGCTAATTACACAAAAGGCGACCAATGCGTTTCGGCAACTGTTTACCTGCACTTAACTTATTGAGTCATCACTCCATTCGTTTTTGAAACAGCTCACTCCGACCATAGGATTAAGCTACGTATCTTTAACGTCAGCAAATGTGATGAAAAGACTATCATCCTTGCGCGTATCCGGCTCTCCTAGCGTGGACGACCTCAGACCGTTGTAATTGAAAAGGGCCGTCTTGAACATTCTCGAACAATTAGCTCGATTCTTTCAACGATGTTTCGATGAAATGCGGATTCCCTGCATGTGAAAACATAGGATATCCACTTCTATTTAAAAGAGTGGGGATTGTACATAGCCATCGAACTATCGTCCAATCGCTCTCCTCCTAACGTTGTCCAATTATTGGAAGGTAATATCGCA